GCCAGACGGGGAGTGTGTTGTGTTTAGGCTCGGGCCTTTTGATTGGATGCTGGCGCCAGACGGGGAGTGTGTTGTGTTGAGGGTCTGGCTCTTCTCGTTTTCTTTACAGGGAGTTGATGTTTGTTCTGAGGGACGGTTTCTGTTTTTTCGTTCTTCCCAAGGTTTGCTTTCAGCACTGAGATGGACCTTGCCGCTGAGTGGAATCTGGATGCTCTGGTGGGATGTGGCCTTGGCCTTGGTTCTGTGGAAAAGCGGCTTGAGAGTGTCCCCCCAAGCCCTGAGGCATGACCTTTGCCCTGGTTTTCTAGGGTTAGTGCTTTCGTCAGGCTGCTTACGTTTCCTGGGTGAGCTGTAAGCAAATCGGTTTGGTACCTGTCATCTGGCCGTGGGCTGCAGCCTGTCCTGTGACTGGTATGCACTTTGCAGGAACTGGTCCATAGAGTTTGCAAATGAAGTGACTATAGATTATGCAAAGGGAGTTTACTATAGCCTAGTCTGCAGATTAAGTGTCTGTGGCCTACCCAGAGGGGATTGGTCAATTTATGGCTCTGGTGGGAGGGCCGTGCCTTGAAATTGACCAGAAGTTTGTGTATAAATGCAGCCAGCCCCACAGAGGTCCTCAGACAGGAAGCAGGAAGCAGCAGAGAGGAGGCAAGAAGCCTCCCAGAAGTCCTTAGCACAGGCAAAGGGCTGTGACGCCGAAGACAGCAACAGGGCCAGGGGGTGACCTGCCCAGAAGGCGCCCTGTGGCAGAGCTGGGTGACAGAAGGCAGGGCCAAGACGAGCCCATCCTGAGGTGGCTGATAGGACCTGAGAGGGCATCCTGCACTAAAGACGACAGATTTGCCCGTGGGCTTCCGACCCTGATTGGAGCCGGCTGCTTCCTTAATGAACTTGTCTGCAGATGTGGCCCGAGTCTATGTGGAACCCTCACAGTGGATGGTAGGACCCAGAAGAGAGGTAGAGAGTGCGTGGGAGGGAGGGATGGCTGGTGTGAGAACTGGTGACAGGACCGGAGGGCAGAGGCTGTGTGACCTGCCAGCCGTGGGCGTGGCTCTGGCTGACGGTGGTTCTCATGGCCCCCACGGTTTACACAGGTGCTGCTACCTGCCTTGCACAGAGGGGTTTACAGCAGCCTTTAGTCTGTTGCTAGGTGCCGCCTGGTCGATCTGACTCTGGCAACGCTGCCTGCTCAAGAACAGAGCTGCTTCTTGTGGCTTCCCTGGCTATAATGTTAAGGGGGGCAGTCGCCAGGCCCATCCTTCGACAGTACCAGTGGGTGGGCTTGATCCCCCAGCCTTTAGGTTAGCAAGTGAGTGAAAACCACTTCTACCACCTGGTTTAATCACCTCACTGAACTCTGCCCCACCTGGGGTCTCCCCACTCTCACGTTCATTGAAGTCCCTTCAGCCTGGCTGTTTGAGGAGCCTCTGCCCAAGTGACCCCGGGAACATTCACCCCGTTTTCTTTGCCGTCCTCCTGGTCACTTCCTCTGCTCCTTCAGGAATCAGTGCTCAGAGCAGAGTCCGTGGGTCCTCTGTGGGTCCGCTCCTCAGAGCCAGTCTGCCTGTGCTGTCTCCCCTCCTGGCTGTTCACTGTGGGACAGTCCAGCCCCATTTACTCTGTCACGGCCGCAGGAAGTCTCTGTTCCTTCTTTCTTTGTCACGAGCCTACTCTCCCCTCCTTCAGCTTTATTGGAACACAACTGAAATACACCACCACTTGCCTGTCCGTCTGTCCTACTCTGGTGGCTGCGTGTTGCTGTGAGGCTGGAGGCTGTGCCACTGGTGTTTCACATCCCAGCAGGGTCACCCACAGTGGACAGGTCAGTGGGGCTTCCAGAGTGAGACAGACACAGAAGAAAGAAGGAGCCATCCACTTCTCAAAGAAATGGCCAGTGAAAACCTTATTCATAGCAGTGAAACACTGTCTGATATGTTACTGGAAAACTTTATGCCCTGAAACTGTGTCGTACAGTGCCAGAAGATGAGCCCCTCAGGTTGGAAGGCACGCAAAATATGACTGGGAAAGAGCTACCCCCTCAGAGTAGAGCTGACCTAAATGATGTGGATGGAGTAAAGCTTCCGGGCCCTCCATTTGCTAATGTGGCCCGACTCAAAATGGAAGAAACAGCTGCAAACATCCACTGATAAGTGGAACATGGAATGTATGACGTATGAATCTAGAGAAATTGGAAGTTGTTAAAAATGAAATGGAACGCCTAAAGAGCGATATCCTAGGCATCAGTGAGCTGAAATGGACTGGTTTTGGCCATTTTGAATCAGACAACCATGTGATCTACTATGCCAGGAATGACAAATTAAAGGGGAACGGTGCAGCATTCATAGTCAGAAAGAGTGTTTCAAGATCTGTCCTGAAGTACAATGCTGTCAGTGATGGGATAATATCAATATGCCTACAAGGAAGACCAGTTAATACTACTATTGTTTAAATTTATGCACCATCCACCGATACCAAAGATGATAAAACTGAGGATTTTTACCAACTTCTGCAGTCTGAAAAAGTGGCAGTCTGAAATGGACCAAACATGCAATCAAGATGTGATTATTGCTGGTGATTGGAATGCAAAAGTTGGAAACAAAGAAGAATCACCAGTAGTTGGAAAATATGGCCTTGGTGACAGACATAACACTGGAGATCACATGATACAATTTTGCAAGACCCAATGATTCATTCATTGCAAATATCTTTTTTTCAACAACATAAATGGTGTCTATACATGTGGACCTCACCAGATGGAGTACACAGGAATCAGACTGACTACATCTGTGGAAAGAGGTGATGGAGAAGCTCATATGCAAGTTCAAGTTGAACCTGAAGACAAAACAAGTCCACAAGAGCCAAAATATGACCTTGATTATCGTTGTTAGGTGCTGGCAAGTCAGCTCCGACTCATAGCAACCCCACGCACAACAGAACGAAACACTGCCCAGTCCTGGACCAGCCCCACGGTCCTTGCTGTACCTGAGCCCATCGTCGCAGCCACTGTGCCAGTCCATCTCATTGAGCGCCTTCCCCTATTTTGTTGACCCTCCATTTTACCAAGCATGACATCCTTCTCCAGGGAATTGTCTCTCTGACAACATGACCAAAGTAGGTCAAAGTCTGGCCATTTCACTTCAAGGAGCATTCTGGCTGCACTTCTAGCAGGACAGATTTGTTAGTTCTTTTGGTAGTCCAAAATTATATCCCAACTGAATTTAGAGACCATCTGAAGAAGAGACCTGATGCATTGAACACCAGTGACCAAAATACAGAGGAATTGTGGGATGACATCAAGAACATCATCCACGAAGAAAGCAAAAGGTCATTGAAAAGACATGAGAGGAAGAAAAGGGTACGGTGTTCACTGGCTGGCTGCCTTGGACGTGATTGCCAGGCCTTTGGTCTGAGGCCCCTCTGGGTGGACTCACCGTCTCCAACCTTGCAGTTAGAGCCAAGTGTACTGCTTGCCTCCCCAGACTCCGTGCAGGTCGACAGTGACTTCAACTCGGAGCATTAAGAAGCCCTGCAGCTGTCGGACAGAGCACTCGTATGATTGTTGAGTCCAACAATGAAAACAAATTTGTGGGTTTGTGGGTTTTTATTTTCTAGTAACTCATTGTCTTTTACTAAATTACTGGTCTGCAACAGATTGAAAATTAAAAAACAGAATCGGGTCCTCTCCGGGGCTTCCTGTAATCCCGGGAATGCCTTCATTCCTGGTGAATGCTTGGTGGCGGCTCCTTCGGATGCCACCAACCCAGGCGCCAGTGCATGTCCCAGTCCAGCTCTCTAAGATGGCCACCTGGCTGTCCAGTCAGCGTGGTCAGCTCCGAATGTCCACACCCCTGCTCTGCCACCTCAGCTCCCTTCCAGCCCCGCCCACGATCCTGGGAGGCAGGATTCCTCTTCCGCACGCCCACTGCCCACCCCAAATCCCAGGGGCTCTCCAGCAGCCACAGTCCCCCCTGCCGCTTGGCACATCCCTGAGGGGGCATGCTCCCACTTCCACCCTGCGTGTGTCCTCCAGGCCATGCCCAGAGTAATCGCAGCCCTGCACTGGGACCTCCCGGTCCCAGCATCCATACCCCTCTCTCCCATGCCCTGGTCTGGGTCCCAGCGCTATGGCCAGGGGGGCCTCCCTGCGGCCCTAGTGCACCTGGGGCCTTTGCCCTAGCTGTCTCCTCCGAAGCTCTCCAATCTCCAAAGGCTTGGACTCCCACATCCTTCCATGGCCACCTCGCTGCTCCAGCCTCCCGGCCCTACCTCTTCTCCCAGGCTCTCACCACCTTCCCGACGCAAGGCCTCTCAGCACAGCAGCGCCCTTCTAAGCGGGCCTGGCAAAGTCACCTCCTCCCGCGTCCCTCTCCCGCCCACTTCCCAAAAGCCCCGGCCCGGAACCCCGCCTCGCCTCACGCTGTCCAGTGCCGCAGCGACCCTGGAAGGTCTAGGGTCCCCGCGGCCTCTGAACCAGCCCACTCCAGACTCCCAGGCCCTGGGGCTGTTGCAGAGACAGGGCGCGGCCGCATCCCCCAAACAGCTCCGGGGGAGGGTGCTGTCTGCCAGGGGCACCCTAAACACCCAGCCTTTCTTGGCGGAGCCCGAAGAACTTTGCCGAGGGCCGAGAGCACGCGGACAGCGGGCAGAGCACGTGCATGGCCCGGATTCAGCGACCGCGGGAGGCTGCACGCGGCACCCCGCGCCGGGGCAGATACGAGGGCTGCACCCGGGAGCCCCGGCGCCAGCCCCACCGCGGCCCGGACTGGGCGGAGCTTGGGCCCGGCCCCGCCCCACCAGCTCAGGCGCCAGGGGAGGCCCCGCGTGGCCTTCGGTTCCCAAAGCAACCAGAAAACAGTTCAAGCCCCGCGGAGTCTGGAAGCCCAGCGCCTCCCAGCGCCCCGCGAACAGCCGGCATGTGCGCGGCGGAGGTGGACCAGCACGTCGCGCAGAGGTACCAGCTCAAGCGGCGGCTCGGGAAGGGGGTGAGTGCCGGGGACCCCGGGCGTGGGGTGGGGACGCGGCTCTGCCGGACCGACGGCGTGCCTGCTCTGAGCAGGCTGTCCAACCCTCTGTGCCTGCGTCCTTACTGACAACAGCCTAAGACTGCCTCCTTCAGGGGACCTGTCACGCCCCAGGCGGCGGGTGGCAGTCAGGCCCCAGAGGTCTGAGGCCCAAGGGATCCTGGTGTCCCCCCAACACAGGGGGGGACTCTTCCTGAGTTGCCTCCCTCAGTGCCCACAGGACACCCGGGGAGGCCAGGCCCACGCGCTTCAGTCGATGGTGGGGGGTGGCTCTCAGTAGCAGCGGACAGGGCCTCCCGGGCCCACAGGGAGATCAGATTGTGAGTGTGTGTGACCGTGTGTGTGACTGAGCGTGGCGGTGGAAGGAAGAGAACTCCAGACGCACAGGAGCAAATGCAAAGGCCCCAGGGAGGAACGCGCTTGGCTGGGGGGCAGAGCAGTGTTGCAGGACTGGAGCGAGTGACAGCGAGGGACAAAGGCCCGTGATGGGGAGACACGCAGCGCGCTCTAGAAGCCGCTCTAGAAGCCTCTCCCGCTGCCCCGTTGAAGATGGACTGTGGGAGGGGGCGGGAGCGGTGACCGGAAGTGGTTCTGAAGGGGGTCACCAGGAGCAGCTGGACGGGCTGTGAGGGGTGAGCCACTCTCCCAGAGCCGGGCAAGCTCCAGCCTCGTGAGCTGACCTGAACGCGGCTGCCACTGGCTTTCCTCGCAGACCTCTCCCCTTCCCAGCGGCCCTCCCTCTCACCCTGTCGTCTCCCCAGATCCCGTCACCCTCCCGAGGAGGGTGCCAGAGCGCAGCCGCTCCTCACCCCGCCCGCACATCCGCCTCTGCCTGGTCCCCGGGGCAGGGAGGGCTGGCGCCTCCCTCTGCTGGGGGCAGTCTAGATGGGCAGGAGGGTAGCCCAGTGCCCAGCAGTCCGCCCGGCCTCCCCAGGCCTATGGCGTCGTGTGGAAGGCGGTGGATCGGAGAACTGGCGAGGTGGTCGCCATCAAGAAAATCTTCGATGCTTTTAAAGATCAGACCGACGCTCAGGTGAGTGATGGGGAGAGTGAGGGGCGGAGCACAGGGCGTGAGCCGTCCTTCGGGGAAGCTCGGGGCAGCTGTCAGGCCCCTCGCAGCCCTCCGGCTCCCGGTTCCTCAGAGCGGGTGTCTGGGGAGAGCTGGCCCCTCTGCAGCCTTTCAGGACACGCTCCGTCCTGCTCCACCCCACACCCGTGTTTCTGTCTCCTTCCAGAGGACCTACCGCGAGATCATGTTCCTACAGGTGCGTGGCCACGCCCACCCCGCCCGCATCCCTTCCCAGGCGCAGGCTCTCCACCCGGCGGGAGAGCCGGGCCCCTCGGCACCGCAGCACAGCCGCTGCCTCCCAGCAGCCCACTACTCTCTCCCCAGGAATTTGGGGACCATCCCAATATCATCCGTCTCCTCGACGTGGTCCGTGCAGAAAATGACAGGGACATCTACCTGGTGTTTGAGTCTATGGGTGAGTGGATGTGCATGTGTGGGGCTCAGCCCCCAAGTGCACCTCTGTCCTGGCCCTGGGCCCCACCCCAGGTGCTCGAGGGACCCCACCTGTGGGCGCATACTTCCTCTGTGAGCCTCTGGCACGCAGGCTCGTGTACTGGCCTGGGGCATGAAATGGGTGGGGCCTAGCGGACACCTGGACCTCCTGCTCAGGGGACAGGCTCTTCCCCATTGCCGGCAGCCCTACTTCCCCTCCTCAACGTGAGACGAAACGTAGCAATCACTCCAGAACCCTTTGTTCCGCACCTACAAAGACAGCAGGGCTGCAGGCACTGGGGCTGCAGGGCGGTGTGAGGACCAGGAGACCTCTGTGAGGGCCGCTACAGCGGTGGCCCGAGGGACCCAGGGACTGCGGGCAGGGGACTGGCACACCCAGATTCAAATGGGACAGACCAGCACGCCTTCACTGTGTCCCCTCGGGTCCCCCCACCGCAGGTTGAGCAGCACCCCTTTCTGCTCCCTCAAGTTCCCAGACTGACCTGCACCTCTCTCCCAGCCCCTCCATCCCCAGACAGACCTGCACCCTTCTCCCCTGCCCCACCTCTCCTGACCGACCTGCATCCCTCTCCCGGCCTCCGGGTCCTCCGCCCCTCGCCGACCCGCCCTGCTCCCGGCCCCGCCCCTCGCTGACCCGCAGCCCCTCCCGGCCCCTCCCCCCAGACACTGACCTGAACGCCGTCCTCCGCAAGGGCGAGCTGCTGAAGGACATCCATAAGCGCTACATTTTCTGCCAGCTCCTGCGGGCCACCAAGTTCATCCACTCGGGGAACGTCATCCACCGGGACCAGAAGGTGCGGCCCCCAGCGCTGCGCACCGTGGCTCCTCCTTCCCCAGCGCCCGCCCCTCGCGTGCCGCCCCCAGCGCTCAGCCCGCCTCCTCCTCCCGCAGCCGTCCAACGTTCTCCTGGACGCCAGCTGCCAGGTGAAGCTCTGTGACTTCGGCCTAGCCCGCTCCCTGAGCCGGCTCCCGGAGGGGCCCGAGGGCCCGGCCCTGACGGAGTACGTGGCCACGCGCTGGTACCGCGCGCCGGAGGTGCTGCTGTGCGCACCCTGGTAACAGCGAGACACCCCACCCTCCCTTTCCCCTGCAGCTCCCCCCAGGGGGTGGCCTCCTCCCAGGCCCACCCCTCTGCCTCAGGGTCCCCTAGGCTGACTGCCTCATGCCACGGCTTCCCCAGGTACACTCCCGGGGTGGACATGTGGAGTCTGGGGTGCATCTTGGGGGAGATGCTGCGCGGGCGGCCCCTGTTTCCGGGCTCGTCCACCCTCCACCAGCTGGAGCTGATCCTGGCGAGCGTGTCGCTGCCCCCGGAAGAGGGTGAGCGTGTGTCCCGTTGCCGCGGGCCTCTCTGCTGGAACTGGGGACCCGAGAGACCAGAGGGCCAGCTGTGGAGACACAGCGGCTGGCCCGCCGGGGCTGTGCAGGGAGGAGGGACTTGGGCAGGCAGAGTGGGGACACGAGGCAGGGGAAGCTGCTGGCGCAGGCCCTGGGAGAGGGGCAGCTTGTTGGGAGCTGAGGGAGGATGTGGGGCCCATTCCTCTTGCCAGGAGGCTCGTGCAGGAGGGGCCTTCTTCCCTGGAGCGTGTGGGCACCTGGGTGTGGGCGCGTGTGCAGGTGTGGGTGCATGCACGCCCGCGTGGGAGCCCCGTGTACGAATCGCCCACCCTTCCGCTTCCCTCCGCGGCAGACTTCCCGGCTCTGGGCTCAGGCTACAGCGCCTCGTTTTTGCACCGCCTGGGGGCCGGGTGAGCAGGGCGCTCCGCAGCGGGGCGGGGAGGCATGGGGGGCTGCGCAGCGGCCACCAGGACGGAGGGGCTGGCGGGGTCTGGGACGAGGGAAACGGTCTGCAGAGACCGGAAGCCTGGGCGGCCGGGCCCTGGAACTCAGACTTGGATCCCGGAGGGGGTCTGCGGGTCGAACACCTGGAGAGAGGATGACAGCCGAGACCGCTCACAGGCCACGGCAGACGCTGGACACCCTTCTACCGGCCGACACCCCCCCAGAGGCCCTGGACCTTCTCGGCCGGCTCTTGGTGTTTTCCCCAGACAAGCGGATAAGCGCGGCCCAAGCCCTGCAACACCCCTACGTGCAGAGGTGGGGCGCGGCGGGGAACCGTCAGGGGTTGAGGGGCAGCCTCGGGCTGACCTGACGGAGCCCCGGCCGCCTGCTCGTCCGTGCGCACCTCCTTGGCTCCCGCAGGTTCCACTGCCCGGCCCGCGAGTGCACTCTGGAGGCAGACGTGCGGCTGCCGGTGCACGAAGGGCTGCGGCTCTCGGCCTCGGAGTACCGCAGCCGCCTCTACCAGGTGCCTGGCCCGCCCCCTTGCACTCCCTGGATTCGTGCACCGTCGGCCCTCCCCCGACTCTAGGGGACCCCCTAGCACCCTGCGCCCCCGCCTTGCACTTCTGAGCGCGTCTCCACCCCGCAGATGATACTGGAGCGGAGAGGCAAAGGGCCCCGCCAGAGGCAGGAGGGCCCGGGGGGCGCGCCACCAGGGGGAGGGCCCCGGACCTCCGGGCCCCGGGAGCACCCGCTCAAGGCCAGAGTCGTCCCGCAGCCCTCCTCGGGGCCGCCTGCGCAGAACCCCGGAGCCAGGCCGCAGAGCAGCCCCGCTCATGACCTTGCGCACGGTGTGTGACCTCTGACTGCCACCCCCACGGAGCATGGCCGGCCCCTCCCGCGGGCCCACAAGGCGTCCGCAGCGACCGACCCCCACCCCTGGGATGATCTTCCGACCCCACAGGAACCCCAGGAGGAGCCAGGAACATTCCCAGGCAGAACTCCAGGCCCCTGCTCCAGCCTGCGCCCCCAGAAGGCCCCAGGAAGAGGGGAAGGCCCCCTGGGGCAGCGGCGGAGTCCCCATGGGCACCCGCATGGGTGAGTCCTGGGGGAGTTGGGGAGGCCCCCTCCCACCCCTCGCTGTCCCTTTTGGGGAGCCTCTGGCACCCTGGTCTGCCTGTGACCCAAGTGATGCTCCCCTCCCCAGGTGAAGCCCCACGTTAGGGGGTCAGCACCCTCCCTGACCTTGCAGGCTGCGGCCCAGGTGGCCAACCAGGCTCTGATCCGAAGGGAGAGGAATCGGGATCGTGGGGTGCGAGAGCCTGGCGCCCAACGGGTGAGCCCGCCCCACTGACTGTGCACCTTCCATGGTCCTGTCCGCCCCCCACCGTACAGCCCGCCCATCCCCCACCGTCCTGCCTGCCCCTCACTGTCCTGTCCGCCCCCTCACGCCCTCCCCCTGCCCGTCACCCCTTCAGAGGAGCCAGTCTCACGCCCAGGCCCCTCACCTGCTCCCCTAGGAGACTCGCCCCGAGCCCCGACCTGGCCGGAGAATGTTCCCTGTCCGTGCCTCGCACGGGGCCCAGGATGCCGCCAGGGCCTCGCTTGGGGACTACTCCCAAGCCTACGGAACTGTCTGTCTGTCCGCCCTGGGCCGCCTGCCCCTGGCCCCGGGGCCGCGGGCCTGAGCCGCTTCTCCTGCAGCCGCCACTGGTCGACCAGGCTGTCCTCCTCACCCCCCCCCACCCTGCGTGACTCCGTTCCCTCTGCAGCCCTGCCCTGTGACCCCACGCTTGCCCCTAACCCTTGGATCAGTCCCTGGACACTCCTGGGTTCCGGGTCCCCCCCCCTCGGGCTCCTCCCCTTTGCCACCTGTGTTCCAGTTTCAGGAGCTTATCTGGGTGATGTTGCCACCCAGCCCCAGTTACCGCCTCCTCCAATACAGTCCTGATTGTAGGCAGTGACGCTGCCCGTCCTTCTGTGTGTGGGATGCTCGCTTTGGTGGCCCCATCCCTCCCCAGGGGCTCCACTACCCTGCCCTGAAACACACCACGCACACAGACACACACCACACACAGACACACACCACACACAGTCACACACACAGACACACACCACACACTGAGACACACACGCAGACACACACATAGACACACCAACACAGTCACACACACAGACACACACCACACACAGACACACACACATAGACACACCAACACAGTCACACACACATACACACACCACACACAGAGACACACACATAGACACACCAACACAGTCACACACACACACACACACCACACACTGAGACACACACGCAGACACACACATAGACACACCACACACACAGGCCCCATGAGAGGCTCCTCCTGCTAGCACCCAGCAGAGGCCTTGCCCTTCAGGCCCCACCCAGGCTCCAGCTGCCCTGCTGGTCCCTGAGCACAAGACCCTAGTGTGGTTCTAGGGGGTGCCATTTGCTTTTGTGACATGGCACTGAGCCAGAAAGGAAGAGGGGAAGTGTGGGTCTGGACTGTGGTCCCGTCAGAGCCCCAGCTTCTGTGCTGTACCAGCAGTGACTGAGGGCTGGGACGTGGGGAAGGACCCAGGTTGGTCTCCAGGCCCTGGTGGGAAGGGTGTCTGGTGGGACTCAAGACTCCCTGCTCTGGTCACCACCAGGGGGCCTTGCATGAGCTCAGGTGGGGGCCCAGGACCAGGAGCTGCTGCCTGTGGCTCCTGGGTGTCCCAGACCACACCCACTGGGCCGGGGTGGGAACCTGTTGGGTCGCTTCCTGGCTGCTCTGCCTGGGGAGCTCCAAAGTGTGGGCTGCTGCGATGGGCGCTCCCTGGCTGACGCACAGGTGGGAGTGGCAAGGTGGAGTGAGGAAAGACAGGAGCTGGGTGGCCCTGGGGGCACCAACAAGCAGGAGTACTTCAGGGGCTCCAGCAGGCAGGGTTCACTGGGAGAGGGTTGGCTGCCAGAGAGGAGAGGCAGGGGCCACAGAGGGGCGTGGCCAGGGGTGAGTCAGGGAGCTGTCTCCTGACGGGGCTGCAGTAGGTCAGTGTGTGTTCAGAAGCCCGAGGCACAGACCGTGCTGACAAGCAAGGTGGACAAAGGTGGCCATGGAAGGAGTAGCGCTGCCGGAAGGAGTCCGGCCCGCAGAGGCAGCCAGTACAGGGGAGGCCTCCGCAAGGTTCTGCTGGGCTTGGTGACGCAGGGACCTGGGCAAACGCCAGCAGATGACAAGGGAGAGAAAGGCAGGGAGACCTGATGGGCCAGAAGATGCTGGCGGCGGAGGAAGTGGGGACAGAGGGAGGAGATGGGCGGGGGTGTCCACAAGTAAAAAGCCATGCGTGCTGAGGTCATGCATGTCGCAACACACCCGAGTAACTGTACACCTTACAGAATGTGCTAGAATGCAGTGGGTTTTACTGCTTACCCCAGATTCACAGTCATGTTTCAGGAGCTGTCCTAGGCCAGAGAGTGTGGGAAGGTGCAGGCAGGAGGCCCCGAGGCAGGGCTGGCCCCCACCCTCCAGCCTCACCCCTCACTTCCTGCCATGGTGGACCCTAGCGACAGACCCTAGGAGAGCAGGCTCGCTAAAGTAAACTTGGTGACGAGGACAGCAGACAGGGGCTGGAGGGCAAGGCCTCTGCTGGGTGCTAGCTCCCCCGTCTCCCAGGTGACCTCCATCTCAACAAAGGTCCTGCTGTCACCTGGACCTGGGTGGTGGCTTTGGTAACCCAATGGTGAGTGACAGTGGGTCAAAGCCCAAGGTGAGCCTCAAAGCCCCACTGCTGGGATTGGAACTGCTACCTTTGTTCAGCGGCCTCGTCCCCCAAGTACTTGTTCTTTGTGGGGTTTCTCTTCTTTTTTAAAAATCTTTGTGGGCTTTCTAACTTTTCAAAAGAGCTACTTGAAGAGAGTGCACATAAAACACACCCGGCTGCCAACGTCCCAGAGCTGGCACCTGCAGCAGGAGATGCTGCGTGGCGCCGACAGGCAATGCACGTGGTGTACCCCAAGGTTCGGAGGTGCCAGTCCACCCGGACGCACCCTGAAGGCCTGAAAACCCTGTGTAGGCCAGTCCCACTCGGACGCAAGTGGGGTCACTGGTCACAATGCAATCACTTTGATGGGTCTGGGGGCCACCTTCAGTGGGAACCTGCCAAGTGGCTGGTACTAGAATACCTTGCATCCAATCAACTAAAACAGATGCAAGAAAGAGGAGGGGACATCTTGGACAGTCCCTGCGTGTTGGTGACAGAGGTGAAGACCACAGGTCGAGTTGGGTCTGCCAGAGCTGGGGGCTGAGACACACCCTGGCCTTGGCCCTTACCTGCCCCGTGGCCCCACACCACTGGCCGGAGGGGTCTCCCAGAGTGTCGGTGGATGGATGTGGGGGTGCGTCACCAGGCGGGTCACATCATCTGTCCAGACCGGACTTTATTGTGCTGCAAACTCTGGCACACCCACCCCTGGCTGGAAGGGTCGGCCAGCTCACTGAGCGGTTCCTCAGGTCGCCGGTGGCGCCCCCTCCTGGTCACTGCCCAGAGGGGCTCCCTTTGGGTCTGGACCCTTCCCTCCCTCCCAAGCTGCAGCAGCCAGCTCTCTCTTCCGGAGGCTCCAGGAGGCTGCGGAGGGAGATGGTGAGGAGGCCGAGTCCCAGCAGGGAAAGATGTAAGCCAGGTCTGGATGGACAGACAGAGAGGGAGAGAAAGGGGGTGGGGGAAAGAGAAGGGGACAGAGAGGCGAGTCAGGAGGCAGTGGGGTCAGGCGACCAAGGAAAGAGGGACCGCCAAGAACACAGGAGCCCTGAGAGAGAAAACCCTGAGAGTGCGGAGGGGGACTGAGGGCCCCAAAGGGGAGCCCTGGGGCGGGGGGGGGGGGGACGTGAAACCCAAGGAGGTGGTGAGGAGGCAGTGCAAGCGAGGGGTTGGGGCAGCCGAGGCCCAGATGGAGGTGCTGAGCTGGGGGGCAGCCTCCAGGGGGAGGGAGCCCCGTCAGCCCCACAGAGCCAAGCCCTGGCTGTGCTCACAGCCCCAGACTACGTCGGGCAGAGGGCCTGCCTGCCCGTGCCACGCGGGCCCAGCCGCATGGGTGTCCGGGCTCAGCAGGCAGTCTGGGCGGTGGGTGGCAATGATTCGCCTGGCCTGGGTTGGGGGCTGGGCCTTCACTTCTTGGCCTTGAACGTGCCCAGGATCTTGGGCATGAACTTGCCCACCTTGCTGTCCCTGGCGTCCTCCTCGGCCGGGCCCTCTCCCGCGCCGCCGGCCTCCTCCTTTTTGCAGAAGACCTCGAAGCGGCTGTACACGCGCTTCTCTTTGCGCATGCTCTCCATGCGCTTCAGCAGCCGGTCGCGCTCCTCCGCGCTGGCAGGCAGCGTGCGGCTCAGCCGGCCTTGGGCCCCGAAGCTGTCCGAGCGGAAGATGGCGGAACACTTGTCCTTGTCGGACATGTCGGGGGCCAGGCCGCCGCCGGCGGGTGGGTGGCCGAGCTCCGGGCTGCTGTGGGCCGGGGTGGTGCCCGACGCGGGGGCCCCACGGTGCTTCTGGCCGTGGGCGCTGATCTGCTCCAGAATGGCCTTGGTGTCGTCGCGCAGATTGCTGCTGTACAAGGCATTGGCGGTGGCGGAGGCCACGCGCGCCCCTCGCGGGCCCCGTTCTTCCGCGGCGCCGTCGGCGCTGTCGCCCCGACCCAGCGACAGCCTCCGGGGGCTCTCGGGCTGCCCGTTCTCCTGTGGCGCGGGGAAGCCGCCCTCCTCGTCTGGCCGCCGCTCGCCCTTGGGGCTCAGAAGCTGCCTCAGGCGCAGGGAGCCCTTCCGCAGGACCTCCATGGGGCCACCCGCCGGCTCCTCCGCGGGCCCGGCCTTCGAAGACTCCGCGGCCGGGGCAAGGGTGAGGCTGCCCCTGCGCTCGGGCACAGGGGGCACCGGGCTGCCCCTGCGCTCGGGCACGGGGGGCACCGGGCTGCCCCTGCGCTCGGGCACGGGGGGCACCGGGCTGCCCCTGCGCTCCGGGTGGGCGGACGTGGGACTCTCCTTGCGCTCTGGGTAGGTCAAGACCAGGGTTCCCTTCTGCTCGCTAAGTCCGGGTGTCGGGCTTCCTCTCCGAACGGGAAACCCAGGCGTGGGGCTGCCCTTGCGCTCTGGGTAGGCCGAGGTGGGGCTCCCCTTTGACTCCAGGAGGGGCACCGGATGTGCCCCAGGGCCCTCTGGTGGGGGGCTGGCCCGCCCTTGCGGGGAGGCCGCGCGGCCCTGGGCTGAGAGGAAGCGGGAGGGCAGCCGATCGACGCCGCCCCGGCCCAGCGTGTCGAGCACCTGCGCGGCCGTGAGCGTGGCGGCTCCCGGCTGCCGCTCAGCCTCCTGGTGCAGCCGCTGCGCGAAAGAGTCGCGCAGGTCAAGCAGGCAGCTCTCCAAGCTGCGGCGCTCGACCCCCGCGCCCCCCGGCGCTGCCACCTCCTCCTTCCACGCCTGCGACACGACCGCCTTTTTGTGGCTGGCAACGGTCACGGCGCCGCCTCCGGGGTCGCGGGCCGGGCCCCTGTACTTCTCCAGGAGCTCGGCCACCTTGGCAGAGGCGGTGGAGCGCACGGCCTCGCCGCCGGGGCCCAGCGTCTCGTTGACCGTCTGCTCCCTGCGCATCACCTGCACCTTCTCGCTGGTGGCGGCGGCCCCGGCGCCGCCCTCGGCCTGCGACGCGCTGAAGATGAGGGAGGATCGTAACCGCGAGCTGCGCTGCATCAGCGGGTTGAGGCGCGAGCGGAACGAGTCCTGCTGCATCAGACCCAGCTCCTCCGGGCCCTCGCGCTCCGAGCCGTCGCCGCCGCCAGAGCCGGGCCCCAGGCCCTTGGCTGGGAAGGCCACGGGGCTGCGGAAGGCCGGAGCGAGCAGGTCCCCGGCCACCGCCCGCCCCCCGGGGCCCAGCACGTCATCTTCATAGGCCTCGGCCTCCATGGGCGCCGGCAGGCCCTCGTCGCCCAGGTCCTCGCCGTGGTGGCCGCTCAGGTAGGAGGCCAGGCGCCAGTGCCGCAGGCCGGCCCGCCCCTCGGGCCCGCCCCTCCGCTCCGCCTCTGGCTCGGGTGCGGCCTCCAGGCCGAGCCTGGTTGCCGCCTGGCACGGAAAGCGCTGGCCCAGGTTGGGGCGCGGGGCCCCGCCGGCCTCCAGGCCTCGGGGACCCGGCTCGAAGGCGGGGTCCGAGCCGTGGCGCACCTCGCGCGACGCGCTAGACGGCACGTAGTCCAGACGCAGGGGGCTGTCGAGCCCGAGCTCGGGGAAGCGCGGCCCGCCGCCCAGCGCCGAGTCCTCGGGCTCCGCGAAGCCGGGGCGGCCGGCGCGCAGCTTTTCGAAGAAGCCCTGCGGGCGCGCCGGCGCCAGCTGCGGGTCCCACTGGTAGTGCTGCTGGTACAGCTGGTCGCGGTGGAAGTGGCTGGTCTGGAAGCGGAAGTCGTCGCCGTGGGTGAGAAGCGTCTGCCGCGACACCTGCCGCGCGGCCGCGAAGTTCTCCACGGCGCCCGCGCCGTCCGCAGCCGCGTAACTGTGCCGCTTGAAGGCGTCCATCTCCAGGTGCCGCGCCTGGAAGAAGCCGCGCGGCCCCGCCAGCTCCCCGCTGGGCCCGGCCTCGGCGTCCAGACGCCGCGACAGCGGCCGCAGCCCCGCGTGTGGCTCCAGGACGCCCCCCAGCCCCCGTGGCGGCTCCTCCCGGCGGAAGGCCGACAGGAAGTGGCGGTCCGGGTCGAGGAACGAGGGGAAGCCCAGGCCCTCTTCTCGCGGTGGCGGGAACAGCAGGTGCGCTCGCTTGGGGAAAGAGAAAGGGGTCTGCACCCCGGGCCCCGGGCCGCACGCGAGGGGTCCCGCGCCCGCGTAGGGAGCCAGGGCGTAGGCGTCCATGCGGGCCAGCGCCCCGGCCGAGGGCACTAGCGGCTCGGACTGCGCAAAGAGGATGCGGAACTCCTCGTCGAAGCTGGAGACCAGTTCTCCCTGGAACACGTGTGCTAGGCTGCGGTGGATCTTCTCGAAGGACCACATGAAGCTAGGGGGCGGGCAGTGAGTCAGGGCGCAGCCGGGCGCGGAGACACGGCCTGGGGGGGGCGGGGCGGGGCTCCGAGATGGGCCTTGGGGTGGTAAGGGTCGCAGGCAGGGGCGGTGTTGGGGCTTGCAAGATAGGGACAGGGTTGGGAATGAGTCTTGACCGGTGGGACCTGGGGAGGGGTGGACCTAGAGAGGGGCGGGGCCAGGTGGGGCTCAGAGATGGACCCCGGGGTGGGCGGAGCGGGGCGCACCTGTAGTTCCCGCTCATCACCACTGCGCAGTCCACAAGCAGGAACTTCTCCTTCACGTGGCCCTTGAAGGACTTGCCCGTGCGGCAGTAGTAGGTGGGGCCTGCCACGGTGCGGACGCGCAGGAACTGGGGGCAGAGAGGGGTGTCGGTCTCCGCCGAGGGGCCTCTCCTCCCGCCCCCTCGGGTCACTCACATCCACATGGTGCAGGTTGACGCGACACTTGTCCGCCATGTCCAGGAAGTGCTGTGCATTCATCTCGTCCAGCAGGATGTAGACAGGGACGCGGCGTGCCGCCGCCTCCAGCACCTCGTTCAGCAGGTCCACGTCTGTGAACATGTCCATCACCACGGCCACCACCTGTGCGATCGGGCCACAGATGGAAGGCAGACTCCCCCTAACTGTCCCAGTGCCACCTCCACGACCCAGGAGACCCTCTGGATCACTAACAAACACTTTAAGGCTACGAGCCTATCCCAGGGGCAGGGGCAGCAAATGGGGAGTGGCCTCTACGGCAGGGGCCTGACAGACAGGGTGGAGGCTGCTGGTGGGGTAGGTGGCCCAGGAGAGACATCCATCCACAAGGCCTACATCCTGGGGAGAGGGTGGGCTGCCCTTCAACTGGGGGCTCCCTCTGGGCAGAGAACCCTGGGCCCGGGGCAGTACCTGGCCAAGGGAGTCCCCTTGTTCTACAAAGGACTGAACCCGGGCTCCAGTTCTGCAGGGTGGGGGAGCTGGGCAGAGGCAGCCCCAGTCCCACAGTTACATACGCTCCCCTTGCTAACTTCGTGGTGGGGATAAGAAGTCTTTGGCTGGGACAAGAGTCATTGGACAGGATGAGAGAATTCCTCGAACAAGAAGACTGGGCTAGGAGGGGTCACCAGCCCTGGTGATGCCCCTAGGCCTGTCGCGGACTCCGTAGTGTGCCATGGACGCCCACTGTCCCACCTGGGCTCCTGCCCTAAGCCTGCAGAGGCCACTCCTCACACCTCCACCTGGCACTCCCAGCCCTGCTTCAGTACCCACCCCTTGCCACACACCTGCTGGGCAGAGCGGATTATTCTGCGTGCCTCATCCTTGATACTGGGGCTGTCAGGTGGCGGTGGCTGTACTAGGGTGGTGACCTCAGTGCCCTGGAAGCCGAAGGTCAGGGGCCAGCCCAGGTCAAGCTCAGGCACGGCCTGGTCTGAGTTCATGGGCCAGTAGGTGCCTGAGGAGCCGTCCATGTCCACGTCGGGTGGGCTGCCCTCGGGGGGCTCGCGGGCAGCATGCTGCGGGGGCCGCAGGTGGCGGCTCACGTGCTCCAACTCTTCAGGGCACAGGAAGGCGGGGGCCCCCTCGGTTGCCAGAAAGCGGTTATAGGCCTCCTGGCCACCCTCAGCCAGCGCATCCACCGCCAGGCGGTAGTACTCTTTGTAGTGAGGAGGCAGGTACCCGGGGGCCAGTGGGTTGTCCCCCTGAGAGGAACTCTGGGAGCGGCGGGCCATGTTTGGGCCAGGGGCCTGCGGTAGGGACAGGGAGACATGTTACCCTGGCCTAGGGCCCCTCCCCACCCTTACACGCACACACACTGAAGTTCAGCCAAGCCCAGCTCCCAGGGCAGACACCCCAGTGTGCCCCTAGCTGGGAAGGGGGATGTCACAGCCTGGCATCCAGCCCTCCGGTGGGCTCTTGTTCCAAATCCAAGACCCAGGAATGGCCTTGCACCCCAGCTTCTGGGCAGAGGCTTGGCTCCTTCCTCACCCCTAAAAAACACTGTTCCCATAAAGTTGATTCTGACTCATTACATCATTACGTATGCCAACAGAACTGAGCACCAAAGGATTTACTGAAGGAGTCTTAGTGGCTCAGTCATTAAGCGCTCAGCTGCTAGCCAAAACGTTTAAATCCACCAACTGCCCGGCAGGAGAAGGATGAGGCAGTCTGCTTCTGTGAAGACTGACAGCCTTGGAGACCCTGTGGTGCAGTTCCACTCTGTCCTCTAGGGGCGCTGTGGGTCGGAATGGACTCCACAGTTGTTGTTGTTATGTGCCCTCGAGTTGGCCCGACTCATAGCGACCCCTCCTTGGGTTTCGGAGGCAGTATCACTACGGAAGTAGGATTGCCCAACTTTCCTTCCGAGGAGTGGCTGGTGGGTTTGAACCGCCAGCCTTCTGGCTAGCAGTCAAGTGCTTTAGCCACTATGCTACCAGAGCTCCTGGACTCCATAGTAGTGGGTAGGATTTGGGCTTTGCCTTTGTGAAGACTTGCCATCTGGGGCGCTGTGGGTCGGAATGGACTCCATGGCAGTGGGTGTGGTTTGGGCTTTGCTTCGTGAAGATTGACAGCCCTGGAAACCCCATGGGGCAGTCCCACCCTGTCCTCTGGGGGGCTGTGGGTCGGAATTGACTCCACGGCAGTGGGTGTGGAATCTTTGCAGCAGCTGATTGCCAGGCCTTCTATGATGCTGCTGTCCTGGGTGGGGGGTGGGTTAGAACCGAGAGCAAAGCATTTGTGCCACACAGGACCCCACCCCTCCTCCCAATAAAACAAACCAAATGCACTGCTATCAACTCGATTCCAAATTCTAGTGACCCTCTAGGGTCGAACAGACACCGATTGCTTCATCTTCCCTCCTACAGAGCAGCTGGTAGGTTTGAACCCCAACCTTCTGGTCAGCAGCCTCCTGCTTTAACCACTGTGCCATCAGAGCTCCTTCTCTTCCCACCACTAGGGTTCTAGGTGGTCTGGGGCGTTTTTGCCTTGTGAGCTCCTTCCTCCATTAAAAAAAAAAAAAATCCCAATCATTACAAGTGACATGTTCTGACTTGGCATAAAGGTGCATATAATCCTGGCAGCTATGAGTGCTATTGTAGTCGCGTTTTCCTCCTGATTTGAAAGGCATGAATGCAGTCACAAGGGCTGTGCCCTCACTGTTCGGTGTGGGGATGCGAAGGGCAGGCTACTCTGCCTCTGGCCCGGTACCACCATTGGAGAGCACAGCTCCGCAGGGTTGGCCTGAGGCCATGCAGAACACAGGTGAGCTCAGGACACAGGGTTCGTGACTGCCATTATCCTGTGTGATTAAATCACGTCTCCCAAAAAGATGTGTTCAAGCCCAAGCCCCTGCACCTGTGCACATGACCCTGTTTGGAGACAGGGTCTTTGCAGGTGGGAGATCTTGGCACAAGGTCACAGGGCAGTGGAGGGTGGGTCATAATCCCATCTGAGTGGTGTCTTATAAAACAGACACAGGCAGACAGAGGGAAGATGGCCAGGTGAGTAGGGAGGCAGAGACCGAATTCTGCTGCAGCTGCTGCCACTTGCAACGCCCAGAGGATCCGCCCCTACAGCCCCCCGGAGCGCCCATGGCCGCGCCCACCCCGGAACTCAGACTCCCAGCCTCCTGAACCATGAGGCTAGGCATTCGTCCTTAAAGGCCCCCACTTCGTGGTGTTTTGTTAAAGCAGCCTCAGGACACCCACTGTCAGCCTCAGTCCTCCCCCATCCATTCCCGGAGTGGACTCCTCCCGCACACCCCTTCTGGGCCTTCCCTCTGCCCCCCCATTGGCCCCTGTCATTGTCCTCAAGCGCTGGGCCCAGCTCATGTCCCTACTCATCTCTGATATAAGCTCCCTGGGCCTTCACTCTTCAACCTGCCCAGAGTCCTGTCCCCACCAGCCCTCCATGTGGCAGAGGACCTCTGTGAGTCTCCAGTGTCACCACCCGGCTCCTGCTGCCCTCCGAGGTGGCCGGTGGGCTTGTGCCCTCACCTCTCACCCCATCTGCTCTTCCTTGGGGTTCACCTCTCCTGGAGGCTGGCAGTGGCCCTTGAGGCCAAGTGAGGGTTCTCTGGACTCCAAGGGCCCACCTGCACACGTACTGAAAACTCTGGATACCTGTCTCCTGCCCTGACCCCACTGCACCCCTCATGGCACCTGGGAGGTGAGCCCCTGTCCTGTCTACACTGGGGCTCCATGTGCTGGTCCTGGCCTGGAGTGGGAGGACACTGCCCCAGGAGCCCCCCAATGGTCGGATGAGATGGGTGGGCCCTACAGAGCTGAGCTGCACGGGGTCAGGAGTGTGTTAAATGGTTGGCTGTAAACGGAGGGGTCAGGACACTGTCGTAGGACGGGCAGTGTGAGGACCCGTCCCGGCTGGCTTCCCTCAGGACGATACACTAGTTGAATGTGGACCTAGGAGGTGCTGCCTGCATCCTGGTCACCATGGCGTCTGTCCTCGTGAGGGGGGATGCGTTATCCCAGTTGTCCTGGCCTCTGACTCAAGCCGACCACATGGGGTGAGTGGCCCTGTGGCATCCGGCTGTGCCTCACTGTAACAGACCTCGGTGGATGGGACTCTATCTAGTCTGTGCCAGGGAGTCAGTGTGACCACGGTGGAGGGAACTGTGGTGTCCAGCTGTTTGTGGTCACTGTTTCCTGCTGCCTGGTCTGAAGTCACTGTCGCACCATTCTGGGGTAGGTGACACTGCCTGGTGACAGACTGAGTCCACGTCACACTGTCTGACCACAGGACATGGGGACACTGCCCTGCTGACTCCGTGTGAGGGGTGCACTTCAGCCTTGGATGAAGTCACACCAGAAGTCATGCTGTCCCATCTGATGTCCCTAGGCAGGGCCAGGTGTCATGTAGTGGGGGGTCCTTTAGAACGGGGGTACTGCTGTGGGCTAAGGGCCTTCTTAGGGGACTTCACCTTCAGGGAGGGGCCCCAAATCTGGCATAAGGACAGGACTGCTGCTCGCTGGCGCCCCCCCCCCATGTCAGTGGCTTTATTCCTTGACCATTTCCTCTCTGGACCACAGCTCCCACTGTGGACACCCCTGGGCCGTGGCCACACCCCAGTCTGCAGCATGAGGCCGCCACAGCACCCTTCCCCCCACATTTGCCTACTGAACCCCCGCCTGGACCCAGGGAAGGGCCTTGTCCCACCTAGGCCCATGACTCAGCAGGAATCCGTTCCTCTGCAGTGACCTCTGACCCCATGCCAGACAATACTGCCCTGGCCCCCAGGCTCCAGGGGCTCCCTCACCTGCGCCTTCCAGAACCATGTCACTGCCCACTGGGCTAGGAAGTGGGGCCTTAAGTGGCTGGGAAGAATGTGGGCCCAGGCACAAAGGCGTGACCCTGTGCCAAGTACCGCCGGGTGGGACAGGTTCCCAGAATGACGGGGGCCTTGGAAGCCAGGCTCAGGCACAGAGGTGGGATCCCGGGCATGGGGCTCCCTGGCCGAAGTCCGCCAGGTTTGTGGGGCGCTCACTAAGGAGGACTGGGGGTTAGCGGACCCCAGGAAGTTAGCGGCTGGCCGCCCGGTGTCCCACTTGCCCACCCCGGCGCAGAGGCGCGGGCCCAAGGAGCCAAGCCTCCGGCTCCCCTTGGCCACCCAGCAGACCGCGGCCCGGGCGTCTCCAGCGAGGGGTCCCGGCAGAGCCCAGCCCCCAACTCCCACTCGAGCTAGGCCGCGAGGGCCGCAGCACCACCTGGGCAAGCTCTCCGCGGGCGCCCCCGTTCCCGCGCCACTTCCGGGGTCCG